CAGTTTAGAACACTGATATCATGGATTGCTTCCTGGAAAGACAAGATTTAGCCAAACAGACTCAAAAAGAAACACAAAATTAGAACAGTCTTTTTAACTGTAAAATATGAGTTAAATCGATAGTAAAAAACAATAGCCAAAATTTACCCATGAAGAAATTGTTGCACATAAATAGTTTTATCTGAATGCTACCAAACACTAGGGAAACAAGTTGTTTGTTTATTTATTTATTTATTTATTTATTTATTTTTCATTATTATCATTTAATTGTTAAAATGTTTCTTTTTAATTATCTTATAAAATAGTATACTTTGTGATAGTATTTTTACACATGTGTATCATATAAGTTTGTCATTTTAAAGTTTTTAACTGAAACAGAAATTACATCACTTGCCCCTCTCTCTCTCCAGCCTTTTTTCAACTACCCTCCTCCAAAATTCTTCCATGCCCCACCCTCAAGTTGATAGCCTTATTTTATTTGCTTGTATCTGTTACACACAGATGTATGTATATGTATGCACAAATATATATAAATACAACCTGTTGAATCCAAGTTTGTTGATGGTGTGTACATAGTTTCAAGTTTGGCCATTCTGCACTGGATGAGCAGTAAGGGGACTCATCCCTGGGAGAAGCTAATTCTCTTTCTCTCAGCAGTCAATAAATAGGTGCTTGTAGTTCTTTGCCTAGGAATGGGACCCTATGAAATTTCTCCATTCTGTGTTAACATGTCTATTGATGTTACCATCAGCCCAGTCTTGTTTATGCAGCCATTTCTAGGAGAGACTGTTTCACAGCAGTATTCTTGGTATTCTGTCTCTTACAGTCTTTGTACTCCATTTTCTCTGATGTTCTCTGAGACATAGATCAGTAATTATGATGTAGATGCATCCTCTACGGCCCAGCTCCCCATAATCTAGCAATTTCTGCATTGTATTCAGTTGTGGTTTTGGGTGATGGTCTCCATTTTCTGTAGAGAGAAGCTTCTTTCATATCAACTATACACAGAGAGTCTCAGGAAAAACACCCCAATTCATTTTGAGTTCACCGTAACCTTAACATTGGAACTGAATCCAATAGAACCAGAAGTGACAAGACAGGACAGAGTTTTTTAACAGACATCACAAAACAGATCCAATAACAGAAGAAAACTATCGTGGTCAAGTTAGATTTATCCCACTAATTAAACTGATAAATTAATTTATTTGATTAGTACTAGAGTTCTTATTAGCAAAATTTTCCTTATTAACCTATTTTAAAGAAAAGTTTATATTATTTCACTTTAAAAATTTAAGCCTTTTAGTATATTTTTAGAAGAAAATTTTTTGACTGGGAAAAGAATCCAAATGATGTAGCTAGCATTACTGGCCTGAAGGACACTGGCAGCACTAGTAGAGTGTCCTTCCTGCATCTCTGAGGGCATCTCTAAAGATTGGCATGTGGATCAGTGAATCAAGTGGGCAGGATGAGCCTTGAATGCAAGCAGCACTGCTTTATAGGGTGAGAGCCCAGGTGGAAAAGAGAAAAAATGAGAAAATAAGCCTTTACTGTGGTGGTTTGAATAGGTATGTCCCCTACAGATTCATGTGCTTGAATGCTTGGCCCATAGGGAGTGGCACTATTAGAATGTGTGGCCTTGTTAGAGTAGGTGTAACCTCATTGGAGGAAGTGTGTCACTGTGGGGATGGGTTTTGAGGTCTCCTATGCTCAACCTATGCCCAATGCGGCACACAGTCTCCTTCTGTTGCCTATGGCTCAAGATGTAGAACTTTCAGCTCCTTTAGCACTATGTCTGCCTGCCTGCTGCTGGGCTCCCTGCAATGACAGGAATGAACTAAACTTCTAAACTGTAAGCTAGCCCAAATTAAATGGTTTTTTTTAAAATAAGGGTTACTGTGGTCATAGCACCTCTTCACAGCAATAAAACCCAAACTAAGACATCTACCCATGAATTTTCCTTCTTCAGAAAGCAGACAACACAATTGACAACAGGGTCCCTTGGCCGTTTGGACTCAGGTACTTATTTCAGTGTCTCTTCAGGGGGCTGAGGACCCTCTGTCTGGGACTGGGGTTTGTCTCACCAGCTTCCTTGGTTATAAGACTTCAGGTTTCTTGAACTCATTTGTGTCACTGCCTACCTGGCTCTTCAGCCATTCTAACAACATCCTATGATTGTGTAAGCAAATCTAAACAGATCTATATTTTATATGGATAACTTTATTTTATTAGTTCCACTCTCTAGAGAATCCTAATATGGACATCTACCAAAATCAGAAAATGTTATTAATGAAGAAAATAGCACTCTTTTTGAGATCAGGAACAAGACAAAGATGTTTTCTGGCACAATGACCCAGCCTCCCTCTTCTTTAACATTGCAGTGAGGTTTGAATCAGCTTAAGAGGAGTAAAAAAAAAAAAGTGAGAACTATTATATTAAAGGAAAAAATGTGGCAAATCTTCAAAAAAATTAAACATGGAATTACTGTGTATTTCAATAGTTCTAAAGGGAACTGAAACAGAAACACAGTGACATAAATCACCATTGAGAAAGGGTGGTTATGTAGCTGAGTGTCATTAGAGGTGAAGGATGAGCAGTGCAGTGTCAGCTATAGGGAATTGCAACTCTGCCTTAGTATAGAAGGAAACACTGGCATATGCTACAACACAATACAAGTCAAAGAAAGAAAGAAAGACAAATACACACTGAACTCTTCTATATAAGTGTCATATGGCTATACAAACTATGTGTGTTAATCAATTTTTTGTTGCTGTGACAAAATACTTGACAAATGCACTTTAAAGGAGAAAGAATTTATTTGGACTCAGTTTCAGAAGGTTCACTCCATTGTGATAGGCTGCTCATGGGAGAGTGGAGTTGTTCCATCAGGGCAGTCAGGAATATATGAGAAGGGACTGGGAACCAGATAAAACATCCAAAGGCATGCTCCACTTTGGTCCTATTTCTTCAGGTAGGCCCAGCCTCCTAAAATTACCACAAACTCCCAAATGGCACTGTCATCTAGGAACCAACTATTCATTGTGTGAGCCTGTGGGGGACATTCTATATTTAAACCTCAACACTGTAAAACTGTATGTAGGTGAAGTAGCAGTCAAATTCATACATTTGGAAAGCAGAGCTGTGCATGTCCACAATGCTGGAGAGGGTGTGAGGTGAGGGATATACTATACATATATGTGCATGCGTGTGTGTGCCTGTGTGTGTGCGCGCACACACACACACACACACACACACACACACACACACACAGAGAGAGAGAGAGAGAGAGAGAGAGAGAGAGAGAGAATTATTTCTTTTGCAGGGAAATGTATAGAGCTGGAGATGTCCATGGTAAGAAAAATAAGAAAAACACAAAAAGAGAAATATTGCATGTTTTCTCTTTCTCTCATAGTGGAATATGAAAGTAGAAAGGAGACTGTGAGAAGAAAGCAGACCAAAGGTGAAGAAGACAGAGGAGGAATATGGTGGATGAAAGACAAATATATGTTTTCTTTCTTGCAGGATCTCAGTTTAGCAATGTATACATATATGAGATATGGAAATAGAGAAAGGCAATTTGGGGGATAAAAGGATCTGAGGTAGATGAATTAAAGTAAAGTGATTTTGGTTGTGAAAAGATTGTAAAGAAACCCATCATTGTGTATGTTAACTAAAATCTTTAAGATAAGAAAAGAGTGGGGTTTACCAGGCATGGGGAATTTGGTTTGGAGTGATGAAAATATTTAAAGGTGATTGTGGTGATGGCTGTACAACAATGAAAATGTACTTGATCCCACTGAATTGTACACTGGAAATTGCTAAATGCTTGTTTTTAGTTTGTTTCAGGCAACTTCTCTCACGGTTTGAACTCAAGCAATCTTTCTTACTCAGCTTCCAGAGTGCTGGGATTACAGACATGAGCCACCACACCTGGCTTTAAATGAGAAATTTCATGCCGTATATATTTATTACAGTTTTTGTTTGCAGAAGTCATGTTTCCTAAGAAGGACATTTATGTATGATAGTTCAGAAACACTACATACTGAAGGTAAGACTCTCTATTAAGTTGAGGTAATTTACTACCTAGATCTTGGAGTGAGTTACAGTACTCCAGAAGTGATATACAAAAATGGCACATAATTTTTAGGAAACAGTAATACACTTTTATACTGTCAGAGAGTGCTGTAATCCACCAAAATATGACACCCAGTCTGAAAAACCCCTTTTCATGTTGTTCATGCCTTTCCATCTCATCCCCCATAGGCCTTTGGGTATGCTACAGCCTGGACCATCTAGCTCTCTTCACCAGCATCCATCTCCATTCCTCTTCTTCCTCCTTCTCCTTTCCCTGTCCCAATACCACTTCTCTTTTCCTTCACTCAGGTGGTTTAAGTTCAATGGGAAATGTGAAGTAATTAAAAAAAAATCTTTCTTAGTTTATTGAAGCACATTTAAAAAATATGTAATCATGATTCTGAGATTCGCTAAACTTCAGGTCAGTTTGTGCTCCCTTTCCTGTGTAGTATGTTATTAGGCCCTGCTCTGGCCTGCAATGTGGAGCAGAGAAAGCACACCACTGCCTGTCCAATGATTAGAGCTCTCCAGATCATGTCCAAGACTAAAATTCATTACCAACTGGATTTTCCTGTTGAATCGATATTTTACATTTAGTACAGACTGTGTTTTAATACCCCTGGCTTTCACTCATTCTGTGACTAGGTGCTAATAGGGTTCCTGGAAGCAAATATGAGGCCCTCAGATGTTATGCTAACTTCAAACATGGAGGCGATTAGAATTGTTATGGTTCAATTTTCTCCCAAGTGAATTCTGATACTTCTATTTTTTTTTTTTAAAAAAAATGCTTTTATTTCTATTTTAAATGAGGCATAGTGTTAAGCACATGCATGAAATGCAAAAGCACTTATGTTCCTTCCTCTAGCCCTTGTTGTTCACATGGTATGTATAGAGAAGTCCTACTGAAGCAAGGCAGAAACTCTGTGGCACCTCAGAAAGGGAGGTTAATAGTCATCATAGTTGACGCTGGCTCCATGCCTAAAGCTTTCTGGGCTGCGGGGACCAATGGGTGCATCTTCATCGTAATGACGCCGATAGTAGTCACCATAGTAGTCATGTCCATTCTGATCTCTGTTTAGCCAATAATTGACATCATCTTCAAATTTCTGAAGGAAAAAAAAAGAATGGATAAAGAATGTATTTGAACACACACACACGCTAAAAGCACAGAACTTATGACTGTTCTCTGAGTGAATTTTTTTCAGTAATTGACAACTGGTATGACAGCTGCTTGTTATAATATTTTGTTCACAGACCAATCTAGCCTTAAGATACCAGTATGAGCTATCATCCTGCTAAGGAAATCTATGCCTATACTTTTGATAATTTCCACTATGCCAAAATACACTCTATACCTGAGAATTGTTTTCTTCTTATAAAGTAAATAAAATGTGCATCTGTCAAATGTAGTAACAACTTAACTGGCCCTCACTATCACCCGAATCACTATGATAGATGCCTTCTCAGCCTCCTGGCCTATTTCTGTGCTTGGTCCACCATATGAATTAAGTCAACCTTTAGTATCTTATAGCTCTTGAGCAGGGCATCTGGGACACCTCAGATGGCATGCCTTAAACACCCATGTTCTAATGATTTGTGTGTGCACAGGCACAAGTGTTCACTGTGTAGATTTGTGAAATGAGCTATGAGTGTCAGGCCCTGCCCAAAGCAAGATAGATAGATAGAAAGAAAAAAAGAAAGAAAAGGAAGATAGAGACTTGGCTTACAAGAAACCTGCAGTCTATTTTGAAATAATTATGAAAGGAGACAGATACTGTTAATAAAAATGAAAAAGGCAAAGAAAAGGACCAGCACTTAGTAAGACCTCCTTCAGCAACTGATCTTCGCTATGATTAGCCTTTTTCAAAAGGAGAATATTTCTGAAGTGATGGTGAAAGTGCAAGATGAATTATAATGACAACTTTCACTTGATCTAGTGTGAGGATGAGACATTAAGGAGATAACAAAGACAGACTGGAGATGGGAGCAGATTGAGCAGTTTGTGCTGCAGGCTGTGGCTATGAGACCCTGCACCCAAACACCACTGAGACTGGAAAAATGCAGATTACCTGGCACCACTAGCCTCTTGAAATGAATTTTCTAGTCGTTGGATCTCAGGAATCTATTTCCACTCTAGTGGAATAGCCAGGGAACACTAAATACAGACTAATTCTGACTTGCACTTTTTTGTCTTTGTGTTAGGATGATGTGAAGGCAATGTGCATTCAGTAGGAACCATTCTGAACTCTGTATTTGGATCTATTCCCAGGTGACTGCTGTGTGGGATGAGCCTCTCCAGAAATGTTGCAATGAGTCAGGGCTCTCATCTGGCCTTTGACCATGTGTCTAATCTAAAAGGGTGGTAGGGTATGTGGGCTGGAGGCATTTTAGAGTGTAGTGATTCCATTTTATCATAGATTGAGGAGTACCTGTCCTGAGGACCCCGTGAGGCTGAAACCCTAAGCTGGTCCATGAACTGGGGCTATCTATGGAGCACACCTAGACTCAGTGGTGCCCCCACCTGTGTAGACCTCACCGTAGGCCACTGATTCTGATTGCACATCTGTTTGCTGCCCAAGATATTCATCTTCAGTGCCTCTCACAACCTCTGCCTCAAGGAGGAGAACACAGACATTTTTGCCTCCCTGTATCTCTGGCCTAGACTTTTTCACAATGCCACATTTTTGGGTCAGAGTAAAATAGTCTTACTGCCTGAGTGAGCTTTACTCACAAGTGCATTGACAAAATTTCCCTTAAACATCTGCAAGAACCATCTCTCTTTAAAACTCATTTTAAAAGTCTTCTTTCATGGTCTTCATGAGTCTATATGCCCATCTTATTGCTTCAGCCATTTCTGGACAAAGATGACCAAATTTAGTGAGTTGTTTTAAGGATGTTCAGTTGAAACTGGACAGCAGAGCTGAAGGCATTTCTAGGAAAATGAGATTCTTCAGGAATCTGAGATGCAGCCATTTGGCTCACAGATTACCTGGATCCTTCCTCCCTCTGGCTGGCTAAAATACAGTGCAGAGAAAGCTCATACATTTGGAATAAAAAGCACTGTGGCTTGGCTATGGTTTGTATGCTCCTAAGGTTCATTGCTAGAAGCTTGGTCCCAGTGTGGCAGTACTGGAGAGCTGGGACCTTTAAGAAATGAGGCCCTGGGCCAAAGTAATTAGGTCGTGAAGGCTTTACCTACTAAAACAACTATAATTCTATGGCATCTCAGAGTGGTAAGTTCTTGTAAGAGCTGGCAGTTGTAAAAGTCATTGGTGTCAGCACTTGGAAGTTCAAGGTCTTCCTTGGCTACATAGGGAGTTTGAGACCAGGTGAGGCTACACGATAAGCAATAAGCAAACAGATCAATGAATAAAGCAAATTTAGGCTTGCTTCTTGCTTTCTATGTGAATGTTTCTTAACACATACTCTTGCTATTATGACACCTTTTGCCAAGATATTCTCACTTAGAGTCAGTATATGGTGACATCAGACCTCCAGAATCACAAGCTAAAAATGAACTATTTTCTTAAAAGTTCTCAGCTTCTAGTATTTTGATAAAGCAACAAAGAACATACCAAAATAAGAAGCAAAGTCTAACTTCCCAGGTCCTCTCCCCAGGTCAGGCTTCTGTCCCCCACAGCCTGCCCTGTAGTGTCCAAGGCCCCCAGCAGGAAAGTACCCACCGCCTCATCAAAGCCCATGTACAGGAACTGCTGGTACCACTGCTGCACCTCAGGCCGTGTGCGGTCCCACAGCTGCCGCTTGGCCCGCTTCAGACCCAGAAATTCCTTTGCTGTGTTCTCAGCCACAGCCACATTAGTCTTGGATGAAGCAGGTCCTGAAAAGGTCAGTTCCCAAAAGACAAAGAATGATTTCTTTTTTGAAAATAATATTTTCATTATTATTGAAAATTTTCTTCCTATTCTTTAAAAGGTTTATTTTTATTTTATGGGTGTTTTGTCTGCATGTGTGTCTATGCAGCATGTGCATGGAATGCCAGCAAATGTCAGAAGAAGGCATCAAACCCCTCAACCAGAGTCAAGTCATACATAGTTGTGAAACACCGTGTGGATGCGGGGAATAAAACCTTTATTCTCTAAAGTAGCAGCCACTGCTCTTAACTACTACTGAGCTTTTCTCTAGCCCTAGGCTGGAGAGATGGTGTAGAGGTTAAGAGGCTGCTCTTCCAGAGGTCCTGAGCAACCACATGGTGGCTCGTAGCCATCTATGAGATCTGGTGCCTTGTTTTGGTATGCAGGTGTACATGCAGACAGAGCACATATCTACATAAAATAAATAAATAAATCTAAAAATAAAACTATTAAAAAAAATGGGGACTGGAGAGATGGCCCAGAGGTTAAGAGTACTGGCTGCTCTTCCAGATCCTGAGTTCAAATCCCAGAAACCACATACTGGCTCCCAACTATTTATAATGAGATCTGGTGCCCTCTTCTGGCATGCAGGTGTACATGCAGGCAGATCATTGCATACAGAATAAATAGATAAATCTAAAAAAAAAATTTTAACATGGTTTAACTACTGTATTTTGATTTGACATATAATTGTAAATATTTATGCTATACATATGCAAGGACCAAATCGGATTAATTGGTATTTCCTCCCCTTAAATGTTTATCATTTCTTCATGTTGGAAAGCTTTAAACTCTTTTCTAGTTGTGCATAAAATGTGCAGTGGATTGCTTTGTTTTTTATCCAACCTTCCTACTTCACTCCCTCTTCAGGCTCACTATAATCTAGGAGGAAGAAGGATAAATGAAAGAAAATGTGGCTCATATTTTTAATCTCTGCAACACCTAATTTTATAGAGGGTGATGAATAGAGGAGAAAGGATGTTCACTAGACAGCACAATGGTTCCACTTGACCTAACTGATAACAGTGACCAAGAGCCCATTTTCTGATGCCAAGAATATTCTACAAAGACAAAGATTCTTTATGTCTCCTTGATGCTATGTACCACATAAGTCAGGGACTTTGTGTGTGTGTGTGTGTGTTTCTTTTCAGCAGAAGTTAGTAATAGAAAGGTTTCCCCATGGGAATGCCTTTTCCTAATGGCTGATGGGATAGGCAGTGTGCCAACGATGTCATTCTATACCCACACCATCAGGTAGGGTTAGTGTCCTTAGCTCAGCTGTGTTTCCTCAGTCTAAAATAGTCAACATTCAGTTAACACTGTTCCGCTGTTTTTGAGTTCACATTGACAGCTTTGGGGTGGAGGAAGCCTAATGTTTACTGGTAGTAATATTTATCTAGCAGAATGCTATACCACATGTCCATAAAATTAGTCCTCTATATCTGCAAGCCTTTGACCAAGCACAAGACCTCCATGGACATATTTGCCATTGCTGTTCCATTACTTGCACTTAGGAGTGAACACATTCTTACCCACTTATGGCGGACTTACCTTCTCGTTTCTGGAGTATCCTCTTGAGTTTGTTTCCATTTGTGCCACCTACATAAACAAAACCAGAAAGCAGTTTCAGAGCCCATTATTCCTGAAATTTTCACACTTTGTTGAGTGCAAAAAATCAGAGTTGTAAATAAGAACTGCCATCCTCTGTCCCGATTTAAGGGGCCTATAGTAAAGCATTTAATGGGTTTTTGGATACCTACCACATAAGAAAAATAATGCATGGTGTCTGGGGCTAATACTGATGATAGAGATATAGATGACAAGTGAATTACCATTGAGCTTCTGCTTGCTAAAACAGCATTGTGTCCCAATGTCTTACTGTGAAAGAGCTACTTATCAAGCGCATCTCCCAGCAAACATTATCTGAAAGAGTCTACCCACCAGGGTATCAAAAGAGATACTGAGACTCATAGCCAAACTTTGGGCAGAGTGCTGGAATCCTTATGGAAGAAGAGGGAGATAGAAAGACCTGGAGGGGACAGGAACTCCACAAAAAGAAAAATAGAGCCAAAAGTACCTGGGCCCGTGGGGCCCCGTAGAGACCAATACTCTAAATAAGGACCATGCATGGAGAGGACCTAGACCTTCTGTTCAAAGGAAGCCCATTGGCTGCTTAATTTTCAAGTGGGTTCCCTAGTAAGGGGTACAGGGGCTGTCTCTCACATGAACTCAGTGGCAGGCTCTCTGATTACCCACCCCCAGGAAGTACAGTCTTGCCAGGCCATAGAGGAAGATGATGCAGCCAGCCTTGATGAGACCTGATAAGCTAGGGTCAGATAGAAGGGGAGGAGGACCTCCCCTGTCAGGGGACTAGGGAAAGCCTGATAATTTGATAGAAAATAGCACATCTAGCCTGAAAGAACACACCCCTCCATTCAGTGAGCTGGTCCCTAATTGGTCTCATGAAAGGTGGACCCAAAGCCCCTGGGGAAAATACACACAGTATCCTAAATAGGAAACAGAGCATCTACAGGGTGTTTGGAACTTCCATGGGGACCCAAGATGGAGAAGGGCACACCAAGGTTGTTGTTGTCTTCCCATCAGGCTTCTTAACCTCTCGGTCCAGGGTTTCTGGGGAAAAGATTAACTTGTGTTTTCAGCTGTAAAAGTGGCTCAAATGAGATTAAGAACTTTATTTGAGTATACATCCATGAGTGATATAACTGGGTCATATAATAATTCTATTTCTAGTTTTCTGATCTCCATAGTGGCTGGAGATCACCAGCATCCTGCTTCCTTACACCCTATCCAGCACATACTGTCATTTGTTCTCTTGATGATAGCCATTCTGACTGGGGCAAGATTGAATTACTTCAGTTTTATTTGGAAGTTCCCTGGTGGCTAAGGATGTTGAACACTTTTTTTAAATGCACAGAGATGGTTGAATATTTGTGTTTATTGCTACACAATTCACAATACCTAGAAAATAGAACCAGCCTAGATGTACAGTCACAGATAAATGGATACAGAAACTGGTACAGAGACACAATGGAATTTTATGCAACCATAAAGAAAAATTAAATCATGCCATTTTCAGAAAAATGGATAAAACTGGAGATCATTATGTTAAGTGAGATAAACCATATTGAGTGTTCTTTCTGGTTTGATTCATTTTGCTATGATAAAACTCTATGCCCAAAAGAAGCTTAAGGGAGGGTTGGGTTTATTTGGCTTAAACTTCTAATTCGTCACTAAGGGAAGTCAGTGTAGACACTCAGGGAAAGAGCCTGAAGTCAGGAACCATGGAAGAACACCGTTTGCTGGCTCACTCTCTGGCTTACTCACTCAGGACCATGCTCAGCTAGCTTTCTTATATAGGCCAGAGCTACCTGATCAGGAAACATCACCACTCCCAATGGTGAGTCCTTTTATATAGGTTAACAATCAAGATAATACATAGAGTCATGACCACAGAACAAACTGATAGAAGCAGTTACTCAGTTGAGACTCTTCTTTTCAGTAACTCTAGGCTGTGCAATGCTGACAGTTAATGCTAACCAGGACACAGAAAGGATAAATAACACATTTTCTCATGCAGAACCCAGATTTTAATTTATATTTGTGTGCTTTTATATATGTTTGTATACAGATTGGGTGTAGGCCATAAAGCTAGAAAGGGGACCATGAGAGGGAAAGGAGAAAATTTAAAAGGTGAGAGGATAATTTGTCTTAGTTACTTTTTTATTGCTGTGACAAAATATCATGCCCATGACAATTTTAAGAAAAAATATTTAGTGGGAGCTTACAGTTTCAGAGGGTGAGTCCCTGCAGGGAGCTGGCAGCAGGCAGGCAAGCATGGCACTAGAACAGTAGTTGAGAGCTTACATCTAATCCACAAGCAGGAGGTAGAGAGAGAGAGAGAGCTAACTGGGAATAGCATGGGCTTTTGAAAACTCAAAGCCTACCTCTAGTGACACGCCTCCTCCAACAAGACCATACCCCTGAATCCTTCCCAGAAAGTACCATTAACTGGGGAACAAACATATGAGCCTATGGGGGCCATTTTCACTCAAATTGCCACAGTAGTAAAGATGCATCTTGTGATATGAATGTATACTGCAGTGAAGAAGGATGAGAAGCCCACCAGGAAGAGATGGGGTGGGAGTAAGAAAAGAGCAGGGGGGCGGTCAAAGTATGTAAGAAATGGATTTAATGAAGCCTATTGCTCTGTATGATAATTTTAAAACTAAAAAAGGAAAACAAATAAAAAATATCCATTTTGGGTTCTGAATACAGCTCAGTGAACACTCAATCAGCAACATGAGCCCTGGGATCAATCCTCAGCACTGCAAAACAACTAAAAATCATGTACTCTGCCAATAATACATCACTAAGTCTGGGAAAAAACTTTTTTAGTAAGAACTCTTGCATTAATGATTTACTGTTATCAAGGTAAAAAAAATAGTCAATATTCAAAGAGTCAGCATCTAGTTGTTCTACTGTGTGTATGTGTTAGTGCACCTAATGCTCACTACATTTCTGAGTCCGCATCACTCCAACTATGCACAATCCATACAGAGCTGCACCTCCTAACCTACTGTAGCATGTATGTAAGTTGCCTGCTTACTGCCACTATAGCATCTAAAGAACCTTCCGTATGCTCTGGGATGGAGTGGAGAACTTAGAAGTTATTAGAAGTTAGAAGTTATATACTAGAACTGATTCTTATGCCTCCTTGGTAATCTTATGGGTGTAGTGACAACACTTTCTGGTTTCTCCTACGACAGCCTTAGCTTATAGCACCTCCTTTCATTCTCAGAAGTGCGCCAGCTTGGTGGATAATATATCATCATCCCAATTTTAGAGAATGGATAGCATAGAAAATACTGAGCAGAGAGCTAAGGAGTTAGTGTAGCAGGCATCAGAATATGGTGGCTTCTGTGGTAGTATACAGTTGACTATGATAATGTGGCTGTTTTAAAACAACAGCAGATATCTATACCAATTGTACTTCTGAATGAAGATTAAGCGTTCTCACTAAGGTCCTCCCTGTTGTTTAGCTTCTTTAGGACTATAGATTTTAGTATGTTTATCCTACATTATATGGCTAATATCCACTTATAGGTGACTATATACCATGTGTGTCTTTCTGCTCCTGGGTTATGTCACTCAAGATGATAATTTTTTAGTTTATATTTGCCTGCAAATTTCATGATTTTTTTTTAAATTCTGAGTAATATTCCATTGTGTAAATGTACCACAATTTCTGTATTTATACCTCCGTTGAGGAACATCTAGGTTGTTTCCAGGTTCTGGCTATTATGAATGAAGCTGCTATGAACATAGTTGAGCAAATGTCCTTGTTGTGTGATTGAGCATCTTTTGAATAAATGCCCAGGGGTGGTATAGTTGGATCTTGAGGTAGCACTATTCCTAATTTTTTGGAGAAAGTGCCAAACTGATTTCCCAAGTAGTTGTACAAGTTTACATTCCCACCAGCAAAGGAGGAGGGTTCCCCTTTCTCCACATCCTCTCCAGAATGTGTTGTCACTTGAGTGTTTGATTTTATCCATTCTGATGGGTGTAAGGTGAAATCTCAGGGTCAAGAAAACAGGGAACAGGACAGGAGCCTACCACAGAGGACCTCTGAAAGAATTTATTCAGCAGGGTATCAAAACAGATGGGGAGATTCACAGCCAAACTTTGGGCAGAGTTCGGGGAATCTTATGAAAAAAGAGGAAGATATAAAGACCTGGAGGGGACAGGAGCTCCACAAGGAGAGCAACAGAGCCAAAAAATCTGGGCCCAGGGGGGCCTGCAGAGGCTGATATGCCCACCAAGGACATAACTTCAGAGTTCAGTGTAGTCATCTATCAGGAAATAACTGTCCCTCCTCTGCTTTGTCACTGTCCTGAGCAGGCTACTTCTCTGCAGTTGAAAAGGGTTCCAGGAAACCTGGAGAAAGGATACTTTTTACCTCCTACTTGTGGCTTGAGATGTTCTCAGCTTTTTCTGCAGCCGTACCTTCAACCTACCACCATGGGCTCTAACACCTTGGAACTATGAACTCTAAATGTATTATTTTTATAAGTTGCCTTGATCATAGTGTTTTATCACAGCAATGGAAAAGTAACTAAGATAGTGGGCCACCACATGAAAATTGAGCAAGTAACTCCAGGAGATTCCCCATTTAGAATTACTTGAGGCATCTGAGCATAAATCAACACTGTTGAGTACTGTCCAGGCTACTGGAGAGATGATTATTTAACCAGTAAGTTGGGACTGCTGCTAAATTCTGCACTTTCCTCCAAATCTTAAAAGTCAATGAAGAATTCTATGAAAATATTTGCCAAAGTGGATAGATACGTTCTTGGTTCTAATATTAACATCCATGAATATCTTAACATTTGTCAGTTTTTTAACAAGGCACAGAATAGCACACACAGAATTAAGCACCACCCTCCATCTGTTTGCCTTCTGTAGAAGTGCTTAACAATTCATGAGTGAAAAGTGGTCTGATGATGAAAGAGACATGAGGTTTGGGCTATTACTGCAAGCCTGCAATGTCTTGCAAGTGTGAATCATTAGTACTTCAAGAATGAAAGCTCTACCACAGCAAATCTCAGGTGTGCAACTGAAAGGCTTGGAGAAGTCCATGCCATGAATTATGAATGCTGCTGATATGTCAACCCTGTACCTTCAGCTCTATATTAATACAGATAATTGGACACTACACTAAATCTGCTTGAGGAAAAAAGTAAAGAACAAAAGAAGAGCTGTGGCTCCTTTACTACAACATCCCCAGCTGTCATTTCCAGGCTGTGATGAAAAGCAGTCATGTATGTATCAAATCTGGTTATTTAAAATGAGACTGCAAAGGGGAATGAGCATGTTCAGAATCTCAAGATGCCTCACTCTGAAGGTGAAAATGCCTAAGAAGCAGATCAAGAGGGGCCTGTGATCATTCTCTTTATGAAATGTGCTTGGGTTCCATAGACAAAGTCATTTTTGGGAAATGGAGAGATGGATCCTCTGCTAAGAGTGCTGGCTGCTCTTCCAGAAGACCCTGGTTTGATTTCCACATCTACATGGCAGCTTGCAGTCTCCTGTCTGTTGGCCTCTGCAGGTAGTGCATGCATGAAGTACATAGACATATATGCAATCAAAACACCAATACACATAAAATAAAAGGGGAGAGGGAAGAGTCATCTTCGAGACTTTTTCATTGTAAAAAGTTCACATTTAAGTTCAATGATGCTGATACCGTAACAGATTCCAATCACTCACATCTTGGAATTAACTCAGTGAAATATGAGTGTTGAAAATGAATGGCTTATAGCTCGTGTTCACAACGCTAGCTCACATGAGGGACCTGCTGACATTTGCATGAGTAATCATTCCAACTAGAACAAGCTCCCCTTTATTCTCATGGTCCCTCCTGCCTCCCCTTACCCTGGAGTTTCATTTACCGTGCCTGCTGTAAGAAAGCAAAAGTGAAGCAACAGAGAAATCATTTACATTTGGTAATGTCCAACCCCTTCATACTGGGACAAACACCAGCCTTAGGTTCTAGGAAAACAGCTTAGTGTCTTCCAGCTACTCTTCTTTTGGTAGTAAATTAGGGTTAAGCTACTGTCTCCCAGAGTTGTAAACCTCAAAGGCGCTCCTATGCACAGGAGTTCACTTGTATCCTCTAAAGGGTCATGCAAAATGATAACTTTCCAGGTTCAAAAGGTAGACACTGTAGAGCTCTGGGTATAGAAGCCTGAACTTCAATCCCAGAGTGTGTATACCCAGGTGTGCTGTGAATGTGCTTTTCAAGAAGAAAGATTTTCAGATGTTTCATTTAGTCCAGCTAAATGTAGTAGAACATGTTAAGAGTTATTCGACTTTAAGAGCTGGCATCTGCTCTGTTTGAAACATCAGGCCACCTCAGCTTTGCAGCCTGAACACCATACCATTAGTTCTGTTGCCTCAAGCTGCGTAGAAAGGAACTGAGGAAAGAGAGCAGCTTGTTCTGTCTGTGAATACTACTCCTTTCAAGCCTCCACCATCCCCAGTTAGCACTTCTTGTGGGTTCTTCCCATCCCTATTCTATTTGCTCAAGATTGCCCGTTAGTCTAGAATGCTCCCTTCGAATTTGATTCCTTTACTCCCTGCCCAAGTGCACCAGTTGGGGATCATGAGAGTGCAAAATCCTAGACTCAGTTCCACTAGACTCAGGTTCAGCCCAGGCTAAGAGCAGGATCATATGCAGGCATGTAGCACATCAACTCCAGTCTCCTTCCCCAGCAGCCCCAGCAGCCCCAGCAGCCCCAGCAGCCCCAGCAGCCCCAGCACTCTCCGCCAGGCAGCCACCACTTACCTGGACCTAGGCACAGCAGAAGGAGCAGCGCCAGCCCAGCCAGGGCCAGGACCGCAGGCCTTGCAGACGAGGTGGCCATGGCTCCAGGGCTCAGCAGAGTGGCTGGAGGGACGACTGGAGGAGGACACAGGCTCAGCGAGGCAGGCACGACAGCTCGGGTGTCCTTGCTGAAGGCGGGACCCACCGGGTGGGCAGCAAGCCAGCAGGCCAGGCTGCTGGCCAAGCTATAGCTCAGTGCCACCTAGGCACACTGCCCTGAGGGTCTGCTGCCAATAGCTGGGAGGAGCTGCGTGGCCAAAGAGGAGAGGGCAAGACAGATGACACACAGAGCACAACCAGGCTGCAGACAGGGAATGCTGGCTCCCCGGCCCCCACCCCAAGTGCCCCCTGGGTGCAACTCTCCCCTAACATCCTAGGCTCTGGGCTCCAGGCTCAGTCCTTGCTTTTTAAAGTAGCCTTTGGAATGTTCTTAATTCCTGAGCTGCAGTTAAGGTTGGCTCCCACAGGGCCTCATTTCATATTTTGAAAGATTCTGGATTCCGAGCTGCTGTTCAAGAAAACACATCAACTCAAACCGCAGCAGTGCAGAAACCTTGGAGGGACCAGTGTTTATGCAAAAGTTTTAGCAAAGACTGTATCCATTGTGCACACTCTCATCCTGGGACATGTGAGCAATTGGAAAAGGAAGCAGAAGACACTAGTTGTGTACATATCAGGCTTGACAACCAAAGGAGGTCACAAAACAGTGAATGTGCTCAACACAAACAAAGACAGCCTGGAGTGTACTTTGTGGTAGAGCCCTGATCGCTGCAGGGACCTGGGTTCCGTCCCAAGCAGCAGGTTGGGTGAGCAAAGACAACCTGTTTTCTTTTCTTTTTTTTTTTATGTTTTAATATTACTACCTTTTATTCTTTTTTTTTTAAATTTTATTTTTTTCTTATCAGTTACATTTTATTAACTCTGTATCCCAGCCGTGTCCCGATCCCTCATTCCCTCCCAGTCCCTCCCTCCCTCATCTCCACCATGCCCCTTGCCAAGTCCACTGATAGGGGAACCTCCTCCCCATTCATCCGATCCTGTTTTATCAGGTATCTTCAGGACTGGCTGCAAAGCTCTCCTCTGTGGCCTAACAGGACTGCTCCTCCCTTGGGGGGTGGGGAGGCCAAAGAGCCAGCCATTGAGTTCCTGTTAGAAATAGTCCTTGTTCCCCTCACTATGGGAAACCAATTGGTTCCTGAGTTACCACAGGTACATCTGAGCAGAGGACAACCTGTTTTCAACTGATGAACTGAAACTTGTCTTTAGATGCTTTTCCAAGACTGGCCTGAGCTCAGCAGACTGCTCAGTTTCTTCAGAGACTTAGTTTTAAATCAAAGAGAGGCATGTAGAAGAGTTTCTCCAGCAGGCAGGAGAAAAATAAGAAACTAGACAGAAAAGGAAAGAAGAGAAAGAAGCACCTGGGAGTTATATGAGTACTGATTTGGGTTGCACAGGGGTAGGATAGTTAGGGGATCGGTAGTGCACACGGCTGGTCACCTCTGATCTACCAAGTTTTGGGTGAGACTTAGCAATCTGAATTTTATTTTAAATGTTCTCAGGGGTGTTGAGGGTGTGCCTCAGAGGGCACTGGGAGAAACTCCACTACAGAAGCTTCCTTGTCCTCTTGCCCTTCCCTTGGTCAGTGAGGAAAATCTTCCCTCCTGTAGACTGAGCACAGTGGCGAGGACCAGGGTTTGGTTTCCAGTATTTTTCTGCGTTCTGCAAAATTATATAAATAAATCACTTACCTTTCTGGGTGTAGTTCTATAAAGTGGAGGATACAGCCTCTACCATACTGAGGTAAGAAGTTAATGTGAAGATCTTCATGTACTGTGAGCACTCAAAATTGTTGGTAATCATCGATATCACCTAAATTTTCCCTGGCCTCTGTGTCCTGTGCTCAGTGCCTTGCCACCTGTGGTCTTTATCCCCTTTCAGCCCAAGCCAGACTCTCAGGAGCTATTATTCTGGAATGATGCCAATTCACCCCTATTGCCATTGTCATCAGGTCTTTTGAAATGCCACCCGACATGATGTCTTTTTAAACTGCTGCAGTGACCTTTGCCTTAACTTCTGGTTCACAGATGATTTGGTGACAGAGGAGCAAGGGAAGTGTTCTCATCCTTTGGGGTGCCAACAGCCCAGCACTCCATAAAAAAGCTCTGCAGGACACTTCACATAGGACAGAGAGACAATTTTACACAACTTTGATCCAATTCAATACCGCATCACAAGAGATGGCAAGAGAGATGTTATGGTGGATAGGCTCCATTCCAGGATTGCTATTTTTGTAGGTTGTAGGAAATGGAATTGGGGTGACCTTTCAAAGCCCATAGCTCTAACAATAACAGCCTGAAAGATTTATAGGTAAAATGATACAATGTATGAGGTTTGTCCTAAAATACTTAATGATATGGCTAAAGAGATGGCTCTGAGGTTAAGAGTACTTGTTCTTTTGCAAGGAACCCTAGTTCAGTTCTAGCACGTAGAGATTGTTTCATAACCTCCCATGACTTCAGTTCCATGGGATCCAATGCCCTCTTTTGGCTTCAGTGGGCATCAGACAAACATGCATACAGTGCATATGCATACAGACACATGAAAAATGTATACACATAAAATAAAAGTAAAATGCATATTTAAAACAATTAAAATTGATAATTTGTTTGTCAGGAAACCATGTGTACCATGAACCCCTAGTTGTGATGTGTATATAGAACCTAAATCTGCATGTATATACACCCTTAAAAGTCATATATCGAAATCCAGGGTAATAGATGTGGGTCTGTAGAAGATGATGTGGTTACGTCCTTATAAAAGGATCCAGAGAGATCCCTACCCTTTTCCACTATGGGAGGACAGCTTAGGAAGGTGCTACCCATAAAACAGAAATTGAGCCCTCAGCAGATATTCATTGTCCTGTTGCCCTGACATGGGATATGCCAGTATCAAGAACTATAGACTCAACTTCTGCTACTCACACGGTACTCACTTTAAAGTATGCTGTTATGCCAAGCTTAAGAAACCAAGACAACGGTGCATCATTCCAGTCTTCTCCAGAATGCATTTACATATATTCATTGAAACGTAGGACCTTAATGCTACTCCATCGCCATAGAAGATACAGTTCAATTCCTGAATCTACTGTTTGTGCCTTCACAGCTCCACAGGACAGCCTGTATCAATAGCACTCTCTGGTATGGCATTCTTTCCCAGTCTTTGCTAGTCTTTCCCAGGCAGCTAACGCTGTTTCAGCAATGATCCCAGACATAGTGATTTAGAACCACCATATTCATTATGCTTCCATGGTCTTGTGGGTCAGGAGTCTGAGTTGGTTCTTCTGTTTTGTGAAGTGCTGACAGAGATCTCTTACATGGCTTGGATGGCAGAGGGACTGAGGTAGACAGCTAGACTCATCTGTCCAGCAGCATAATGGAACTGGACTCCACTGAGGTGCCCTCATGTGCCATCTCAAGCCTGGTGGTTTTAGGCTCCCAGAAGGAGCATTGTAAGAGCAGATATTCCAGAGGACAAGAAAAGTAAGCTGACATAGTTGTAAGTCTTTTATTATTTCTTTTTTAATTAAATTTATTTATTTATATTAGTTACAGTTTATTCACTTTGTAGCCCCTCCCCCATTCCCTCCTAATCCCTCCCTTCCTCTTCTTCTCCTATGTCCCTCCCCCAGCCCAATGATAGTGGAGGTCCTCCTCTCCTTACATCTGACCCTGGTCTGCCAGGTCTCATCAGGACTAGCTGCATTGTCTTCCTCTGTGGCCTGGCAACCCTCAAGGGGAGGTGATCAAAGAGCCAGCCCCTGAGTTTGTGTCAGAGACCATTCCTGTTCCCATTACTAGAGAACCGGTTGAAAGTCTTAACCTGAAAAGTGGCACAAAGCGATTTCATTGTGTTCTATTGGTCTAAGAACCACAGGACTAATGGCATCTAGTAAAGGGTCAGGGAGCTCCTTTATCAATGAGAGAATATAAAACAGGTTGCGCTTCCTTTATTCTGTAATACCTATTATGTTTCCAGGCTGAGCTCAGGTGCTGCCTCCTCAAACAGGCTTTCCTACTCATCCCATTGAGCTGGAGTTTCCTTTATTTTTTGTTCCTGCAAGCCTTCTGTGCCCTCGATTTTTTCCTTGGTCTGCCATAGATTTCTTTAAGTATCTTATTTCTCTTTTGTCTCTTGAAGACAGAGTTCCAGCAATGCCTCTCTTTTTAATCACTGTGCAGAGCCACACTATGAATAGTTGAAGAGTAAATGCATGTTATCTAAGGATGCATAAGTTCAGGACTATGCAGGTATTAAACAAATAAGATTATTTGGTATGGCTCCATTTTTTTTATACATTTGATACTAGAAAAGGATATGGGATATGTAATAATGGCTCACTGGACTGGGGGTAAGAGCTCTACCACAGACTTGCCCTAGCAAATAGCTAAGCCAATCCTCCAACCACTTATTGATGGAAACTCACAATCCCATTCCTGTTGGTTAAGACAGTTTCCATGCTGGAATTTTAATAACTTTTGCCATTTGAAATAACTAACTGAAGCCAAATGTGGGGATAGAAAGTTCATTTTAATCTAAAAAAATATCGAGGCACACAAAGTCTTAATTGTAGAAGGCTCAGAGAAGGTTTCTGTGAATAGTACTCATGAAGAGGTGCCCAGGACCCCACAAGTAGGCCTGACCTATTTAATGTCTGAGCCCAAGACTCCACAGGCAGATGTATGCCTTGAGTATCTGTGCCTGAGATCCAGGAGCAGATATGACATCTTAATGTCCAAGCCTAGAATTCACTGACCGATGTGGTTCCTTAGTGTCTGAGCACAGGAGCTACCAGCAGACGTGGTTATTAGTGTCTATAACCAGAATCTAACAAGTGGACTAAGTTTCTTAGTGCCTGAATGGGGGTGAGAATCTAGAGCCAGGAGACCTGGAGACAGCCTGTAAGCTCTAGGAGAATTAGCTTTCTTCTGTGCAAGGGTCTCTGGAGAAATAAGAAGGCTTGACTGGGGCTAGTTTTCAGTC